AAATTTCTAGTACTAAGACTAGTTCTAGAATTAACGTTAGTTCCATAAAATTTAAGTTGGAAAAAAATAGATTCATATATCCAAGTTGTTCCAAATATACTTAAAAGTTTTCAAATAAGCAAATCAAGCATCAGATTTTTTTAATTAAAATTCAATTAACTATTCAGTTTTTCAGTCTCAATAACCACATTTCAAGTGCTATACAGCCACAGATGGCCAGACGACATCCTACTGGACGGTGCAGCTTAAGAAGATACACAAAATACTTATGAGCCAGCATCTTTATATTTCCTACCAAATTTATGAAATATTTAAGTTCTTTTTTTCTTTGCCACATCCTAGAACCCAAAGGCACAGATGAACAGCTTTGAATTTCAGCATAGATGGTATTTTACATTAAAAAAAAATCACCTATCACTCAATTTACTCATTATATCTAAAAGAACTTTCAAAAAAACCTACTGCCTGAAATACGTAAAAAATGGGTTTTTTATTTAAACTGTGAGAGCGTTACAGAGTATATCTTTTGACAAATAATGACGCACGGTAGCCAGCAAAGGTGCCGCTTTCCTGTTCGCCACGCCCATCCCCCGCCCCGCCCTCCACACGCACGCACCCGCCCGCGCGAACACACACGCCGACGCGCGCACACAGGCGCGCACACACGGCTGCGACACACACGCACGCGCGCGCCTGCTGCTCCCTCGCTCCCGGCGCTGCCGCGGGGAAGTTTCCGGAGCAGTGGGGCGGACTTCGCACGGTGGGCCTCCAGGCCCCTTTCGAGCGACGTTAGACCCCGCCCTTCTCCAGATCCGCTCGAGGAGAGAGTGGAAAGGTGCCCAGGGAGGCGGAGAGTAGCTCTGTAGCTGTCAGCTGGTCAGTAGCCCCACCTCAGGAGGCGAGGGATTTCGTGAGCCCAGGAACAGAACACGTTTCCTGCAGGAACAGGCCGAGACTTGGAAACGGCCTCAGCCAGGCAGGTGTGAGGCGGCTGTGCTGCGGTCGAGGGCTCAGGGTGGGCTTTCCCCGTCCCAGCAGGCGCCCCGTGAATCTGGTGTCTCCACGGTCGGTCAAGCCGTAATGTTAGCCGTGGGACGTTCGGGACCCGAGGAGCGCCATTCTCCTGAGTTCTCTTTGGTTGGGTTTCCCACAAAAACGTGGTCACAACAAAAACTGTTTTTCCACACACACGAAACGGCCCCGAAACTTTTTTCCCACGCGCTCACTTACTCTGCGCCCCCCACCCCCTTTAGGCTTAGCCTCAGGAGTCGGGTGACCTCTCCGAACACCGACTCCGCCAAATCCCGAGAGTAAACACAGCCCGACGCCGCGGGAGACCTGAGAGGAGAGAAAACTCTGTGAACCCCAAACACACTCTCCTGTTTTCCCGGCGCTTGGAAGGAAAAAAAAAAAAAGGCGGCCCTTCGGCGCGCTATGCATGCTAGGATGAGTAGTTCCTTCACGCCGCGGGGCGCGGGGTCAGGGCGGAGCTCTTGCTGACTCCGCGGAAGAGAACTACAATTCCCGCCGTGCCCCGCGGCAGAGTGAGAGGGGCCGGCCGGGAGGGCGTGCGCCACGCTTGCGCAAGTCCAGGGGCCGGAGGGAGGCGGAGGCGCAGCGGTCCAACTGCTGAAGTCTCCATGTGACAGAGAGTGGGGTCCCCACCTCCAAGCGCCGCTCGACTCTGTCCGGGCCCCTAGAACTGTGCACTGTTTCGGCGCCAACAGATAGCAGGCCGGGAACCTTGGGTGTGCGGTCGTGCCGCCGCCGAACTTGGCGTGCAGAGCGAATTGCCGTCGCCGGGCGGGTGCCTGAGGGACCCGGCGGCGAGAGGCGGAGCGGCGGGGCGAGCGCGGATTTCTGTCAGCGCCGGCGCCCCGGAGCGCGGAGACATGAACGGCTTCACGCCCGAGGAGATAAGCCGCGGTGGAGACGCCGCCGCCGCAGTGGCCGCCGTGGTCGCAGCAGCGGCCGCCGCCGCCTCGGCGGGGAACGGGACCGGCGCGGGCTCCGGGGCCGAGGTGCCCGGCGCCGGGGCGGTCTCGACAGCCGGGCCCCCGGGAGCTGTGGGGCCGGGCCCTGGGCAGCTGTGCTGCCTGCGGGAGGACGGCGAGCGCTGCGGCCGGGCGGCGGGCAACGCCAGCTTCAGCAAGCGGATCCAGAAGAGCATCTCCCAGAAGAAGGTGAAGATCGAGCTGGACAAGAGCGTAAGTGACGGCGGGACCGCCGGGCCCCGGGGGCCCCGGGAGCCGGCGGAGGCGTGGGTTGCCGGCGGGGTCCTCCAGACCCGGTTGCAGGGTGGGCTCGTTGTGAGGTCCCTGGTAGTCAGCAAACAACAAAGTCGCTGCAACTCCGACCGCCACCCGCAACGCGCACACACTAACACACAAGCTGCCGTTCCCCTCCTCCCCGGCCGTTGTGCTCCGGCTGCCTGCGTCCCTCCCGCGCTGTCCTCCCTCTTCCTCCTCCGCTGCGATCAGGAAGCGAAACAAAGGGGACCACCGCACCGAGGGCCCAGAGTAGTTTTCTTGCAGCCCGGCAGCCGCTTCTGGAATGGAGGCGCCTTTGTTTTGCTGCCCGAGCTTGCGTTTGGCCTCAGGGAGTAGTGGCTCCCCTTGTCTGGGGAGAGGGGAGCCCTGCAGGACCTTACACCGCAGTCAGAGAAGATCCTGTTCTTCCCTGTGTTCCATCTCGTTCTCCAGAACGCAGGGTGGGAGGGAAGCCAGGCTCACCGCCGCCTGGCGAGGAGCAGGGGTTGCAGCGGCGTTGGCGCTGTCAGCTCCTAGGGCGGCTACTCCGAAGGTGGGGAGCACGTAACCTATCCGCTTGGCAGCCATCAGGACTTTTTCCGTCCTTTTGAACGTCTGTTCTTTTGACCATCTGTGAGGGGTTTAGAAATAACCATTGCTACTTTTCGGAGATCTGGCTGGCGGTAAATGAATAATAAGATATCAGAACCTAGCACAAGTCCTGCATGTTTTTAACTCGCGCTTAGCTTAGAAATAAATGTAAAAGCCTGTTAGCTCAGTCCTTGTTTTTTTTTTTTTTGAGGCGTTAACTGTCAATATACGAAGCCCAATATTTCAAATGTTACTATACAGCTCTCAAAAGTATAAGTCATTAAAGTTTTTGAAAAGTTTATTGTGACACTTTCCGCCTGTTTTTCAGTGGTGTTCATGAAAAACTTTTCAGGGAACTTTCGTAATTTCAGATTGCTTTGATTGGAAAAACGCATTACAGATAAACACATCCATTTAATACTCAGAAAAGTTTGTAATTGAAATATAAATATAGTTAGGATATAAAATCGATAGCTCATTTGTAAAAATGGATAGTTTTGTATCTGGAATATAATACTTTGGGTATTAAGTTAGAAAGATTAGAAAGCATACACTATACTATTTAAGTAGGCTCTTTAAGTAGAGAAAATTAAAATCAAGTAGCAAAATTGTGGGCAACATCATCTTTCCCCTTGTTAGTTGGCTCCAGCATGAACTAACTAATTTGGGTCACCCTAACGGCAGTTTGATGACAAAACCCACAAGGTTGGAATTTCTCATCTCCTCTGCCTCCCTCTCTTCCCCAACTGGCACCACCCCTCCTTGCCTCATCCTTTTAACAGTATTGCCAGACATCTTATGTTTAACAGGGTACAGTGTTTAAAAGTAGAAAGAAACATGCCATTGTCTTAACAATGGCCTGTTTTGACTGTCTTTATTTTTAATAATACACTGTGGACTATGCCTTTTACTAATATGTAGACACATTTTTACTGTAATCATATGCAGTCTGTGAAACTTTTCTGTTTCAGGCAAGGCATCTTTATATATGTGATTATCATAAAAACTTAATTCAGAGTGTTCGAAACAGAAGAAAGAGAAAAGGGAGTGATGATGATGGAGGTGATTCACCTGTTCAAGATATTGATACTCCAGAGGTAGATTAAAGTTTATGTGTGTTTAATGTAAATCCTAAGTAATGCATTTTGAAACTTGCATAAAAAGATACAAACATTTTAAAAAATGTTTAAAGCATTTGAGAAATCTGAAAATGAAAGCAAAATTAAAAACAGCCAGTTAACATGCATTTACACAATCTGAATTGTTATATTTTCAGTTGACAATTCTTACAGCTCTGTTGTCATATAACTTTTTTGACCCCATTTTATAATATTTATCCCCAAAAGATTAAGGTGTTTAATAATTTCTAGTTTTGATTATATAAAAGACTTGTTTGACAACAGAATTAAATTTTTATTGTGCTGAAGTTGAAATGTTTGTTATTATACATGATAATGGTAAGTTTCCAAAAAATTATATAAACTAATTCATATATGTTAATTTTTTCTAGGTTGATTTATACCAATTACAAGTAAATACACTTAGGCGATACAAAAGACACTTCAAGCTACCAACCAGACCAGGACTTAATAAAGCACAACTTGTTGAGGTATATATGAGTTTTAAGCTATTTAAACTAGAGTTCGTTTGCACAAACAAGGGATGATTAAATGCTAATGAAATTATTAATGCAGTGTATGTAACAGTACATTTTAGTTCAAAAGATCTAAGTTAATAAAAAAATCTATTGTGGAAGAATCTAGTTTCCTAGAAATGTTTGTCTGCCACGTAGGAAATTCCTTTATGTAATGACTACTCAATGGGTTGTTATAGCATCTTCTAATACTGGTTTTCGAAATATTAAATGAGAATTTTTTTAATCCTCATTTTAGAAATCAGTTAGCTTTAAAATTCCATTTAACCAGTGAATATTTGAACACCTAATTGAGGCATAATAAATTAATAAGCTTTAATACCTTTGTTAGAGTTATTTTTTTGAAGTTTCTGGTAAAATACAGAATGAGCCCCTAAACAGTATTCGTATAACTTGCTGATTTAACTATTTCAGAATTTGTCCTTGTTGATGTTAGTTTGTTTTATTAGAAGTATCCATGTTTTCTTCACATACAGAAGAGGCAAAGACTTTACTCTCTTACATGCAGTTTGCTTTGATATAGGACTGCTAGTCCTTCAGTGAGTTTTGAAAAGTTGGCCGAGTGTGTGTGTTCTCAGGAAGTAATAGAACCAAGAAATCTGTACATCTTATTAAGATGCTTATAGATTTATATATTTATCATTTAATTATATTTAAAATAAAAAATTTTAGTCCCAGCTATTCAGGAGGCTGAGGCAGGAGTATCACTTGAGCCCAGGAGTTCAAGTCCAGCCTAGAAAACGTAGCAAGACCCTGTCTCTAAAAAAAAAATTTAACCTACTAAACAGAATAGAAATGTAAATATATAAATCAGTTTTCTCATATTCTTCAGCTTCAATTTAGTAGTTACCCAACATTTTTTAAAATGTGCATACTGAATAAGATAAAAGATGAATAGAAGTTACAATTCTTTGGCAGAATGCTTTTTAACATAGTTAAAATCCAAGGTATTAACTACTTAGCCAGAATTTGTTCTTTATTTCTAGCCTAGGCAACAAAAATTTAATTTTTCTTTAAATTTGATTTAAAAGATCTAGTTCTTTTTGGATTGTATAATACATCACTGTAACATAAATATAGCTACTACTTATCATGATGAAATGTATCAGATACTAATTGAGTGAAGGCACCTTTGTTCTGGGACCAATGAGACCCAAAGAACTGATTATATTAAATGTTATGTTTAAGTACATATATATTTTAAATGCATATATCATACCTGAAATTTTTTCTAATTTGACCTTCTAAAAACAGTTCTATTATTTCTAGAGCTATTTTCTTTTTTAACCATAAGAAATTGGCCAGGTGCAGTGGCTCATGCCTGTAATCCTAAGGCCAAAGTGGGAGGATTGCTTGAGGTCGGGAGTTTGAGAACAGCCTGAGCAAGAGCAAGACCCCGTGTCTACAAAAAATAGAGAAAATTAGCCGGGCCTGGTGGCATATGCCTGTACTCTGAGCTACTTGGGAGGCTGAGGCAGGAGAATCACTGGAGCCCAGGAGTGTGAGGTTGCAGTGAGCTATGACGACGCCTCTGCACTCTAGCCTGGGTGACACAGAGAGAATGTTATTCTTTAGTCAGAAATGCAGATATTAATAGATTAAGGAATGTACAAATGTAACATATTTATTTTAAGGGATTCCAGTGTTGGATAGCTATCTTCCTTCACTCCCTTAGTTATTGTGTGAATAAACTTTTCTTTAAGAAGTTTTTTCTTCTAGAATCTAGATATGCATGTCAGCACCCCAATATTATTCTATTGGTAGTTGCAATGTACATGTTGTATTAGCACAATAAAAAGACAAGGAAGCAGGTAGACATCCTTCATTGAACATTCCTCTTTCTTCTCTCATTTTCCATCCATAATTTTTATTCAGAAAAATTTTCAAGGTACCTTGACAAAGAATACTGCCAATGAATGAATAAGTGAATATAGGTTGCAGGAAACATATTTGTTAAGATATTTTGTGGTTTGTTTCTCTAGTACCAAAAATTTTTCAACTTCGTATTTATCCTTTTTCCATCAAAAGAGTGTAAACCATTACAGGTTTAATGATGCATGTAGACTCTTCTGTTTTATTTCATTGGTATTTAAAGTT